ATGAGGGAGAGGCTCCTGAAGAGGCTTTGGAAGGAGAGGCGACGGATTGGGCTTCGGGGGAAGAACAGGTCGATTCGGGCTCGGAAGAATAGACGACTGATTAGATTTCGGTTGACAATTCGCTCGCGAGCACTGATGTCGTCCTGTCAGTGTCGACACCCCTGCCAGCAACAGGGTCGAAACCCCAACCAGTCGACGAAGAGGAAACCAACGTCAATTGAGCGCCCCAAGTGTCAGGCCATCGAGGCTCTGACGATTGATAAACGGGAATCCCCGTCGGAGTGGAACCTCTCGAGGAACTCACTGAGTTCTGACCAGCAGAACCTTCTCGCTGCTCCACGGCTGGTCCCGATCCCAAAGCACCAACATGGTCTGTGGCGAACCGGGAGCTCGGCTCGTCAAAGTAATGATTTCGCGGGGATTCCTGGCACATCGGCGGAAAGCAGTCCACAGATTTATTCAATCCCTCGTGTCGGGGGCTGACGACTGATCGAGGCGAATCAAGATTTGTCTGAGAGCTCTCCTGGAATGGCAGCTGAGTGTCTCACGAGTGAGCTCGCCTTCGTTTCTTGTCCTTATGGTGTCCTTATGGCTGCTTGCTGGAATAATTTTCTGCGGTCCAGGTTTTTCTTCGCGTCTGCCGTAGTTTCCTCTGATCAGCCCGAAGCCGTCCGACTGCGCCTCAGGGTCCTCAATGACTGTCTGGCAGTTCTTCGGAGATCCCGCGACCGCCTCGTCGGTCTCGTTCGCTTTTGACGCCCCGATACAATCGGGATCGCCGTCGTGGATGGGCTGTCACGCTGACTGATGATCAAGTCGTGTTCCTCGTAGCTCGAGATTGGACTCGGCTGGTATTCTCTCCTCTGCGAGCCTGAAAAATCGAGGCATTCAGAGACCGCATATGTTATTCGATCGCTTGCGGGAGACAGGAATAAATGACGCATACCTCTCATCATATTCGTTCTCGGTGGGATAACGGCAGCGGTCTGAGACACTTCATGGAGTTCTTCTACCATACTCATAGAAATCGAAAAATCCGCCACAACGCTGGACGGCTTGCCGTTCACATAGAATACGAGGTCATCAGGGCTCACTCGTTCTCCATTCACTGAAATACAAGTCAGTTTTTAATGTTTCTGGATAGGGACTCCATAGTATATCTCCTTAAGATTACCTTTGAGTGTTTGGGAAGGATTCGCCGGACGACCGTTGATCAAAATTTTCGGATGCGGCTCTCCGCGATTTTGTGGGGACACTGCGGATCGAGGGAGCAAGGAGAGACATGATTTGGGTTGCATACCGCAGCACACTCCGCTTATTAGCAGCGATCTTTCTTTCCCTCGTTATTCCCCGCGCACTACTAGACTCGAAATGAAGCTCACCTTCGATATCTATCAGTCCGGAAAGCATCTTGCCGCGGGTATCTGCGTATAATACGAATCAGACTTAGTTTCCGAGTGAGGCGAGGAGAGTCTCCAGTGGCAGATGCGCGGAAGGCAATAATTTATGTTCTGTGCGCGCCCCGCGGACTCTCACCAGTCACTTTCACGTTTTGGACAGGGGCAGTATCTCTGTCAACTGAAGTTTTTTCAAATCGAAACTTAGTTTAATATGCGCGTTCATTGTTGTACTCTGTCAACTCAAAATGATCGAGCCTCGACCGGGCTTACCACCGACAGAGAACGTGTAGGGAGAGATCGATTGTCCATTGACTGCAAAGCAGAGCGGATATTCAAGTAATTTCCTTCGGGTGATACGTATTGTGGTGGGCTTTTTCTATTTCGAGGTAATTCTTACGCATGAAAACTCCTTGACCGGTCTGCGGCAACGGAGGCACTGGAAATGCGAGGAAACCGAGCTCGAGATGGGAATACTGTCAATGCATGCGAGTCTGATGAATTCGATACCCAAGGTATTTATGAAACTGGTCAGGTCGTCCTACCGGCTTCCGAATTCGACGGCAATGTTACTGCATTTAGAATCAAGTTCCCTCTCAAGATTTCACCGTTAACTGTTGAGCGAAAGCAAGCGAATGAGAGCTGAATACATGCACCGATTATCAGGAGCATCGAATTCCGATTACAAGGAAATGTAAGAACCTGCTATCTGAACTGACGAAGGTGGTATCGCCTGATTTTCCACTGAAATAACGAGAAAATTTACGGTAACGTTTACCGAAATACACCGCTTCCGTGATCCGCGTCATCATCACCGGATTTCCGACATCGACAAACTCACAGATCACGACAATATCTCGACCCGGATCTTCTCCGTTGAAGGTGAGCCGAACGCTTTGTTGAGGTGGAGGATCTACCAGGTCCTCGTCGTACACTGGATGGCAAGTATCACCGAGTTCAAAAGAGCGCGTGAGAACCTGGGTAAAATGAGGAAAATACTCTGCCCGTGATGAGCCTCATGGTGTATCCGACTCACCGATGATGTCTATTCTGATCTCGTCGTCGGGGAACGCGTACGAGTCAGGCGCTGCAAGATATATATCAGCGATCATGAAATGAAGGGAAGCTCTACAATGGATCGGGCGTTAAATCTTCCGTCTACCCTCCCACTTACCAACAACCTCGATCTGTTGGATGGCGATCGCACGTGACCCCACTGAAAAACGTCCGAACCACCGTGAACATCCTTACCCGATTACGAACTCGTATGACCAGTGGAAGCTTGAACGAAGCTCCGAGCGCTTACCGATGACGTAATTCGATCCCTTGGTGAAGGGTTTTCCATTAACTGGAAATATTAGAGTACATCGGCTCAGATGATCTCTCGGAGGAACTTAAGATCGTAAGAGGATAGGAACATCCGGGGACAGCATCACCGATCTTCCTCATTCATACCCGTCACGCTGGTGTGGCTCGCTCGATCAGATTGGAGGGAGGGTACCACCACATTAGGAGGCTGGATATCCTTTGTGGCTGGAAATTCGAGTCGAGAGCTCGTGACATTCTTAGGCGCTGGATCGTTCACCACCTCGAATTTGCGTCTCCTACGTGGGAAGGAGCTCACCGTATTTGAGATTCGTGATGACGTTTTTCGCGGCTTCAGGTGTTTCTGGAAAATTCAATTATTCCTGCGACAACCTCTCCTAACGACAATTTCGGCAATGATCTAAGGAATATTCGGCAGACCCTACGACACGGAAGTTCGAGAATTTCTTGTCTGGTGCCTCACCGAGAGCGTTGGCATAATTATTGATATGGTTGTTGTTGATGTCTGCAACAAGTATTCATGGAGCTATTGGTGAGCCCAGCAACTCCGGTGCTACGGCTGATATCCTCCTTCACAGAGAGTCCGTGCGAACTTGTGACGGCATCATGTGGAACTTACTGTAGGTGTTGTACATTCCGCCGAATTGAGGATCACGGGACGCGGCTTTGTCGTGATGCGCATCGCTGACTCGATCCCTCCCGTCGTATCGGTAGGCGTCGTTCCGATTGTATCCCTGGCTATTCCTGCTGTCTTGCCCATGGCGTAGCTCTTTATTATATCTATCTTGTCTATCGTAACGATCGCCTCGGATGGGTGAATTGTCGTAATCATTCCAATTATCTTGAATAGCTCTATCGATGTTGTTGAACTTGTTGTGCCTATTGTATCGATTTTCCTCATTGAAAGTGTTCTCTTCATTGTACACGTTCCGTTCATTATATCGATTGTGCTCGTTGTAGCGCGAGTACGAGTCCCTCGTCGGTCTGCTCGCCATCGGAGCCTCCCTGTCTTTGATTCTTTGAGAGAGAGCTGTAAAGTGTAGAAAGCGTCATGTCAAATTCCGGAGTTACTTTCATAAGACTGGTCCCTCACGAAACGGTCGCTGTCAGCTACCACTAATATCGTCGCTGGTTTCAAGGCCGGGTTTTTTTCTCGCCAACCCTCGGTGAGCGCCTCCAGAGCCCGTGAGGGGCGAAGCTGAATTTCGAACATTCCTCCGAAAGCCTAGTGAAGCCCAAGGTTGGGTCCCTGAGGTATACGTGTGGGCAAGAATCTCGCTCTAGCTGGTGTCTCATCGCGTTTGTTTGATTCCTGAATGGCACGAATCTCTGGATCGATATTCAGTGGGTGAATCCCGAAATTTCTCGACTGGGATTCGCTGCTCATCTCTGCGATAATGAGAGACCGACTACCCGAGAGCGCATTTCCGAATTTCGCACTCTACAGAAAGTGCGTCCGGTACCAATCGACGGATATACTCCATCCATGAGGATTATTGTATTCGCGAGAGCCTACAGATACCGCGGTAATGCTCATCAGAGTCTCGTTCCATGCCGTCGCCAATCATCCTAAGCCAATGCTCCCACAGAATGAGCGAAGGTGAAGCGTTGCTTACAGTCGAGTAACATCAGCGCCCCAGGTGCAGCTACGCCCGCTACAATGGCTGAAAGCATGAATTCATTCAGTGCTGACGTTACCAAGATGAATTATCGCCACATGAACGATCATGGAGGCTCGGAGCGACTTCAAGTGCAAAAAAAAAAGAGGACAGACCTGCGGGGATGAAACCCCCATGGGACTCCAGAATGCAGCAGAGAACCAGGAGTGAGGATGCCTTTGACCACTTCATGCTGCCTCCGACAAACTGACGCGAGACTAAACTTGAAAACTCACGAACAACGCCGCGAACCTTCCACATGGGACATTGGAGCTTCGTGCCCGACCAGATTTGTGATTATCAGAATAGCTATGAATATAAATCGACCGTGAGCCACATGAATCGTGCCTGTATTACCAATATTCAACACTTCTGTGTCATTCCTCGTTCTGAACGTAAAGATTGAGATTGGATTGATTGCCGGAAGGGAGTATCCTTCCCCCTTGGGCAGCACGCCGACCCTCCCCTCGTCTCTTCGTCGTGTGAGAGGAGGAGGATTCCGAAGGCGCGTTCACGCTGCCACAATTTATTCACAGCACGAAGATATACACAGATATGCACAGATGTATAATGATTTTTTTCTCAATGCCGTAGGGACATTCCAGTCAATTCTAAGAGTTCACATGTCCTCTGTGCTCCACTTGTAGGCTGCTTCTTCGTTGGCAATCTTCTCGTTCTTCATCGCCATCATCTTCGCTTCGAAACCGTTAGAGCGATCCACCCCATCCCAGCGATATCCCGGCCATATATTGTAGCGATTCGGAGGGGGTTGAGGTCCACTGTACCGGGGTCTGCTCGGTCCTGCCTGGGATGACTTCTTCTTCTTCAAGAAGGCAAGCATAGGATCACCATCTCTGGCTACCTGCAAGCGTAACACGAAAACGGTTATCCATGTCGATCGGGAGGCGGAAATTTCCACGAAAGTTCCGCTCGGCAATCTCAACAGCGTTCAGACCTGAGAGGGGCATTCGACTTGGCGGGGAAGGGGTAACTATTCTGATTGGAAATCCGAGGAAATTGAATGCTTGGGATACGGAACGTCCAGAGACGGGGAACCCCCCCCCCCCCTCCCAAACGCCCCCATTGAATACACCAAGAACTGCGCGTGCATCGAGGACAGAGATCGGACACCCAATTATTCGGCCTTCGTTTTCCTGAGGAGCTGAAACCCGCAGTTTTGATGCTCGCCTTCTGACCGAATTCAGGCCGAGCGAATCACGAGCACTTACCGCTTTCAATCGTTCTTCCAGATCGGCATCGTCTGCGGCGCGCGCCAGAGGTTTATTGGCTTCCTTCACGATGTCCTCCACCAACGACTGCTTCTGTTGCTGTTGCACGATCCCAGATTTCCACTGGTCGTAGACAGCCTTCCGTCGCGCTTCCTTTTCAGCCTGCTCTCGTTTCGCCGCGGCCTCCTCCTCATTTTTGCCGCTTCGGCGCAACCTGAAATGATACCATTCCGCTTGCACTAGGATTGGATACGGGGCGAATCGATCAAGGGGATATACGTACGAGAAACTGCAAGTATTGAAACTGCCAAGATTCACGGACACTCACGATAGAACCTGCGGTCCGTCGACGACCTCGCACGCAACTATCTCGCGGTCGACAGCTTCGCGTCTCCGAGGACGCCGTGGCGGACTGTCGATATCGGAGCTTCTACCTGACTTTGCGCCTCTCGACCTCCTCGGGGGACTCTCATCGGAATCCCCGCCATTGTTTCGATCTCCTCTCGGTCGCCGTCTCGGGGGGCTCTCATCGGATGAGTTACTTCGATCTGCGATCAATGACACGGAGAATCGTTTTGAATTGCGCCACATTGTAGAACATGCTGACTGAGAATGAGGTTCTTAATCTCCACCCATCCCGCTTCGTGGGTTTAGGCCTCTTCGATGTCCTTATTGCGAGAATCTGCGAGCCAAGGGATCTGAATCCATGCGGAGCTTGCGAGAAAAAAACTCAGCAACGGCCTTGCTGCGGCGGGTTGGTCCATCTTGTAACGCTTCGAAGGCGTTTCGAAGGACCGGGACCTCACCGAAATCTGTGGCACCGGAACTTATGCTAGTCAGGGAACGTCATCGATCGGAGCACGAAGTTTTCGAATTCAGTCCTGAGTGTCTTCTTCGGAGATTCGAGGATTGAAAATAATATTCACGAAATCATGGACTCAAAACCTCCAAGGTCCGGTCTCAGATTCGATTCAGGATGATGTAAGGAGATGGGCCAAAGAGAAGAAAGACCTCCAGCGTATCGATAGTATTCGAATCAATACTGCATAATGTGCGCTCAGCTTCTGATTAAGTGGAAGCGGAGCATGAGAACTTTAAATTGAATTTTCTCCAATTGTGAGAGATCTGTTGACTCACGCTTCGCTCGTCTAGATGAACCATCGCCAGGGGAATCCCGTCGGTCTGAAAAAAGAGTCGCGCTCGTGAAGACACACTGAGAAGAAGGGAGGCAGGCCTGCCGTGGGATGCGGTTCCATACTGGGAACAGAGTTTCTCTCTTCTCTCCATGTGAATCCACGGAAGCGAGATGTACTCTCCGGAGCTTCATTCATCGAGGAAGCTCAGCGGGCTGATCGTTGTCTCGGAGTCCTAGCGCCAGATACGGAATAAGTCAGATCGAGATGTTGCAGATTGGAAATCAGAAACATCAATTCACCTCTGTGTTTCCGCGGAGAACTTTCATCCGATGAATCTCGCCGCACTGAAATCGAGGGGCATACCAATCGGTCAGACTTCCCGGCAGGCCGGCGGTCAACACAGTGACATCCCTTCGACTCATGAAACTTGGATCTGCAGAATCAAACAGACGAAGCTTACTCGCTGAGGGTCTCCGCGGTGGTGAATCGTCTCCAGACGAGTCGCGTCGTTTCCTATGGCGTGGTGGACCCTCATTTTCACTCCCAGAGTCCCGAGATTTCCTGAAATGAATTTTTGACGGAGAGGAATCCTCGATGCGATTCAATCACGATAGCCTAGAAACTCTTTTCTTTTGAGCCCGATTAAAACTACAAATGTAGCAGTTCCGTCGCGTTTTCGACTCCTCGGATCGACCTGTAGTTGGAACATACTTGTGTAGACATCCTACCTGGCGTCTTGGAAAGTTTTTTTGAAACCCCTCGTCTCGGGTGGCCGTTCATCGATAATTTCAGCAACTTCGGGAGCGTCTTCCCTGTTGTCTCCCAACACGGGCCCGTCGGAGTCTGAGCCTATCGGAAAACGAACCTGCATGTAAACATTCCCGCACAAAACTCACGGGATCTTTTCCATGAAGGGATAGCCGACGCCGGCATACTGCCAGCTCGGAAAAGCTCTTCGGTCATGGACCTGGACAATCGATATCTGGGCTCACCTGCTTTCACATCCTTCAGATCGACATTTGTGTCGAAAATTTTCACATTGGCTCTTTTATGCACTCGTTTAACTTTTCGAACTTTCTTGTTGTTCGATTCCCCACCTCCATCCATGTATTTCTTCAAGTACTCCAACTTTGAAGCCGCCATCGTGACTCGGTACCTCGGAAAGAGATCCTTTCCTAAAACACTGGAGTTTTTCCCCTGCTACCTCGACTCAGTCGATGAGACTTTGACATCGGTTCTCAGCACATGTCGCAGAACGAGAGAATCGTAATTCGAATCCGAGCAGGACGGAGGAGAGGATTCTTAAAAAGCGAGGGAAATCAAAGAGTAAACAGAGAGCAGACGGTCGCAACTCGTAATTTCGGGCAAGGAATGAAATAAGGGGATATCGGAAGCTCGGGGTTTTACAGGTGCTCTTGAGGGGCATGGCCGTGCGGGGGGGAGCACGTCGATTGGCTGCCGCCACTTGATGGTGGAAAGAAAATTCGAGGTACGGCGATTTGATTCACAATTTTCGTCAGTGAGCGCGCCAGCACTACTCTCTCAGTCCGTCCCTCTCTCCGCCCGATTCATCTGCTTGTAAACAAATCAGCGAGTCCGTCAGTCGTCGGCCTGCCGTATGCGAAGCAATTTCGTTTCACACGGAGAAGCTGAAAATCTCCGACGGAGTCCGCTTAGCTCAGAAGATACAACCGATCGAGGTGAGTTTATGAGGATCCCCTATCTGAACAGTGCTCCCCTCGGCGGCATTCCGACCATGTTGATGATTTCGGAGCCAGTGTTCACCGCAATCGTGTAGTCGCGGTATCGTCCGATGGACAGCCTTACAACTTACAAGAGCTTCCTCAAAGCAGTCCACTTTCTCGTTGTCGACGACCGGAAGCGAACGAGCGAACCCAATCGGAGTGATTCGGTTCATCACCGTTCTCGTCCGTTTCAGAGCGGTAACCATGGATTTCCAACATCGGGCCGGTGGAAAAACCGGCACCGGTGGAGTCGCATCATGGAGCGAGACGAACCGAGATCGCCGAGAACGGCTGCGTCAGTTGGCTCTGGAGACGATAGATCTTCAGAAGGACCCCTATTTCATGAAGAATCATCTCGGTGAGCTCGAAGTCCGATGACGAATATTCAGTAGCGATTCCATCGCAATTCAAATTGAGCCAAACTTCATCCGTGTCAGCTGGAGCCTCTCGGAAACGATCAAGGGGAGCAGATGAGGAGAGTCATTGAGGGTCTCTCTTTCAGGTTCTTATGAATGCAAGCTTTGCCTGACCCTGCACAATAACGAGGGCTCGTACCTTGCTCACACGCAAGGGAAAAAGCATCAGCAGAACTTGGCCCGACGTGCTGCTCGCGAAGCTCGCGATAACCCTGTACAGCCCGCTCCGGCTAAACCCCGTGTCGATATCAAGAAGTTCGTCAAGATTGGACGGCCCGGATATCGGTATGTATTTCCATTATTCATCGCGATTCGATCGTAGGCTAGAGAGAAGTCGAGCAGCGTTCGAGCCCCGGAATAGAAGGGATGTTTCTATCTCGATTCGAGAGTCAGGGATGCATCTCTCTCACAGTCTGACTCGGTAACACAGCAGGAAAAGAAGGAATATGAGAAGCTTTGGGAGCAGAATTAATTCTCGATGTTCCCAGGGTAACGAAGCAGAGAGATTCTGAGACTGGACAACAAAGTCTGCTCTTCCAAGTTGACTACCCGGAGATCTCTGACAATATTGTGCCGCGGCATCGATTCATGTCCGCCTATGAACAAAAAATCGAACCTCCGGACAGAAAATGGCAGTACTTGCTGTTTGCGGCCGAGCCTTACGAAACGATAGCATTCAAGGTGAGAAGTCGAATCCACTAGGAGACCATCGAAAATTCATCGCAAGTTCCGAGCCGCTCTGTCTTCTCAAAGAACGTACGATCCGCGTGGGTTCTTGCTCTAACGAGACTATCGAATTTTCTAGGTGCCCTCCAGGGAGGTAGATAAGAGCGATTCCGAACGATTCTGGACTCTGTGGAACAAAGAAACAAAACAGTTTTTCTTGCAATTCTCCTACAAACTCCCGAAACCGATGTTCTGATGTTTTGTCGCGAGAAAATAAAACGCATGTACAGCGAAAGCGAATAATTCCGACCCTTGGTTACTGCCAGAGAGCTCCCGGAATTTTCAAGTCCACTCCACTGGATCCTCTCATCAGGTCTTTCGGTATGCCAAGCTCGACATAGACTTGCTCTCCTTCGATCTCTCACTCGATTCCAATTCTATCCAAGATCCGAGGTGGGAGTCGTCCGAGGACTCCCTCACAGAATTCGAATGGCGCAGGTTTTCTTTGAAACAGATATTCTGGAGTTACAATCCCGAGCAAGAAGCTCTCGAAGTCGGACTTTCGCGGTAGACCGCCATCTTGACATTGTTTCTTCTTGAATTGAATTTCTAGAAACCTGCAAGTCGGGAAAACCCCCGAGGAGCAGCGTGAGAGGGGGATATCGAGCAAATCGCTCAGATTCTCGGGAAGAGCTGAAGCATAGCCTCCAGAGAGTTCTGCCTCGTTCCAGAGTCTTGTTCACATGAGGAGCATTTGCGAAGTTCTGTGATCCTTCCGCTCCTGGCCGTCACCCCCCAGACGAAGAAGAGGCTTGCAGCGTGCCGAGCCCATCGACAAAAAGTGCGAGTAGCGGACGATGCAATCGGATTCTCCAGAATGGAATTCGGTTCTCATATCCACTCTTGGATAACCCGATCTGATTTCTCGATAGGATAGACGAGAAACGTAGGGTAGACGTGGGGAACCGAGCTGCCTCGGTAGCTGGACTCGGCTTGCGCCTGGACAACTCGAATCGCAATCCATTATTTCCGGAAACTCCAGAGCTCTAAGTCTATGTTGAGCCAAGTCGACGAAGAAATCGCGATGACGAGTCTCTCACCGAGAGGGAAGATGGTTGGCGGTCAGAGGAGACCCCCGGAGCAGGTTGGGATTTCTCATATACTGCTCTACGGTCCCACGTATATATCCTATAGTTGGGGGTGTGAATTTTTCGCGGTAAATTCCCGCCGAATTCGCGAAAATTCGCGGCCCGCATTGAAACTCTATGGGGAGTAGGCGGAAATTTCCGCGAAAATTCGCGGAATAATGGCGATCCGCGAAAAATTTACATCCCTACCTATAGTCCAATACGGTCCTATAGCTGAATTTTCCACGAATATCAACCTTATCCGAGAGCCCGGAGCTGAATAGAGGTACATTTCCCTCCAGATTGGTAATGCCAGTGGGGAAACCCAGGGCCGAGATGAGGGCTGCACCGCCGTCAGGGCAGCTCTTACCTCAAGCAAGATCATCGGGCGAGTGGCTCCATCATTCGCAGGCGGCCGCCCGCCCGGCCGTGTGTTTGTTGTGATTGTTCGTCCATGGTGGTGGCAGAGAAGAGAAGAGGACCTCTTCCTCTCATATTTCTCAGCCTCATGACGACTACAGATGTTCCAGAGTGTCTGTGAAGATCGGTGTCAATCGAGATGAAGAATTCCGAGGACGATAAAAACTACTCCAAATAAACGATCAGAATGACCGAAAGGAAGTTCTCTCGAAGCCTAGCGAAACCGGGCAGCGCGGCGCAGGCTCGGGAAACTGTACGGGAGGCCGTCCGTGAAAGGACGTGTGCGGTGAGTTCAGAATCGAACGCGCCATTTTTTCAGTCAAGCTAGATTCCGAGCGCGGGAAGACCTCCACCTGGTTCGCAGATAGAGGCGAGGGTCGCCTCTTCGGGGTCGATGTGGGCTTCGAACAAATTTTGGCGCTGCCATTGCTCCAGTGTGGAGCCGATCCGACGTGAGATCCTCACACTGGTTCTTGACAGAACTCAGGTGTACGGCCGATTCCGCGGCCGTGAGTCATCGCATCGGTGGTCGTCGTCTCAACTCAGATAAATTCTTCTCTTGGAATCTCATTTTCTTCTGCTAGATAGCGTTTTGAAGCGGCAGGGTCGTTCGTCTCCGGCGTTAGAGAATCAGCGATGACCTGACTGGCCTTGAGAGAATGAAGAAAACATCTTTACATAATCTCGAAAAAGTCCGTGGACCCTCAAGTTCAACGGTGTCCTAAGTTCACACCGGGGTGCCAGGGTGGAGCCTCCGAAGCTAGTCAGGCTCCAGGCTCCGACAGAGAGCCTTGAGCGTTCAGTAACGTCAGGTGATGAGCTCGACGCGATTTACAGTTCAGCGTCAGCAAATGAGTCCTTTGAATAGACCGTGCAGGTCTGGATGATCGGTCCGGTTTGACTCTCCTAATGCATTGAATCTCCGCCGGGAATTCTGTGAACTAGCGCGCAAGGTTGCACAAGCCGACCTTGAGGTACGCGGCTGTATCTGAAACATACGGCGCGAGACGATGCTTCTAGAAGCAGATATGTTTAGTGCCTTACTCCAGAGCTCATCGTCAGAACGTCCCCCTCTTTTTTTCCATGGTAGAGCTCTTAACCTGGCTTTAACCTGAAGTGTACATCGAAACTTGAAGGTAGGCAGAAATTTTCGCTATTCCCGCCTGAACCCGCCGACCGCTAAGATTCACAGAGATCGCGGACAACGGATTGAGCTATTTGTTATCTACGTTCAGTAATCAGGGGGTCATCATATATAGAGGCCGAAGCCGAATATTCGTGTGAATATTCCTTAGACAGGTGATCAAGGAAGATTATTTCTCATGGGTAATGAGGCGTCGTGAGTCGTGGCCACGGAGATCAAACTCGGTGTCGATGCAAAGAAGTGCCGAATAAAGAGCTACTAGCGGGGTGAGATACCTACGTGGATGACAAGTGCTGCCGATAGGATCATAGATGAGGGATCCGTTCGACAGGGGCTGCTCTAAATTGAATGGGGTGATACTCTGTCGTCGGGTAGAGACTCGATTGAAAACGAGATTTCGCGGATTCTATTTCGGGAGAACATTCCTTGACTTCTTCTCTGGTTTCGTCCTTCATGGACTACTACATCGAATGACGAAATTATATACACGGCCATAGCGTGGACTCAGATCCGTTGATGACTGGCAGGGTCAGAGCTCAACCTTGATCTCGGTCTCTTCCGGAGCTCTCTTGTTGGTTTTAGCTCGCTTCGATTTTGTCGTCGATAATAGCTCATAAGCAGCACTGATTTCCATGAATTTTTGTTCCGCGAGAAGCCGTTCGTCGGGATCCTTCACTTTATCCGGATGATACTGTCGAGCCAGCAATTTATACGCGGCTTTGATCTCAACTTCCGTGGCGGTTTTCGACAGTCCAAGAAGTTTCGCCGCGTTCTCCTCTCCAGTCGTATCAAAGGCTTTGTAGATCTCTTTCCAGAGACTCCCGAACCCATGGTAGCGGACGTAGTTGTAGAGCCTGACCATCGTTTCGGTGAAGTTTTTCCATCCGGAGGAGGAGAAGAAGTTTCTGACCGAATCTACGCATCGAATCTCGGGCTCGCCCTCATCGGCGCTTGTCGTACAGTTGAAAATGAAATAACTGCTCGCCAGAGAGAGCACTACCCCAACGAGGAGCGCATTCGAGCCGAACCTCCGGAGTTTTGTTCCCGGATCCTCCGGTTTCAGGCGGAATCTTTTTGTCTTCCCAAACATGTGCTCAGACACCATCAAACACCAGATGGTGGTGGCCTTGGGACTGTAGCAATAGTACGGGGTGGTCAGGAGGGCTCCTTTGACAGCGCTCCCGAGATTGCCCTCACTTTCACCGATATTCCCGAGGAAATAGACCGTGTACGCGATCACGAAGGCCATAAGTAGAGGCATTACAAACGGACTCAGATACTCTGGAACGGTACCTTCGGGTATGGCACTTCGCGTCAAGTTCCAAAGGGACTGGGCCAAGATCGTTCCGACGATACTGACAAGGATCGATCGCGAGGGCCTGCTCTCGTTCCTGATTTTCTCGACGTAAGTTTCCTTGAACTCGCCGTCGAAGTTAGCCCATTTCACGTAATATCGCATGTGGAAGGCATCGTAGAGCCAACCGAGCCCACACCCGGCCAGGGTGACTAGCTGGACAACGCCATGCCGGTCCCTGCGCAGATAGAAATGATGTGCACCGAACAGTCCCAGAGTCCCCCACAAGAAGTATGCCACTGCGAGGGACTTCGCCATCGGCTAAACAATGACACGTTGGAAAAATGCCCGGGTGGCGATGCAAGCTCTATACGTTGCCCGTCTCTGTGCCACCTGTGACACACACCGAGCACACCCTCTCTTGAACGGAAACCCTAACTCACTCAAAAAGAAAGACAATCACATCACACACCCACGTCTTCGGAATGCGACACAAATGCTCCGTCGACGCTCCGGAGGTTTTTCTGATCCGAAGAAAATTCCCCCTCGATCGATGTCGGGATCACGAAAACCTCGACGGGATTTCACTCATCCTTCGTGATTCGTCCGGCTGAGGCCGTGACTATCTCACATAGGGAGCTGATTATCCGCGATCGGCACATTCGTTCGATTTGTCGAGCTCTCCTCTAGCAGGTCCGCGAATGGCGCTTAAGTTTCGAGAGCGGAGTCGACCCGGCCGACCGGGAGAGGGACCCGTAGAAATATCTAGCGACACAAATCCTTCGGGCAGTTCGATGATTCGGAATAAACTTCCAACGATACTGATGAGAAATGCGCTTTATGGAGGCATAGACAGATTGTTGCATGACCGTAGCCGATAGTTTCCCGATCGAATTCCGGCACGACGCGAGGAGTTCCCTCGACTCATCAAATATCCGCCGAGCTCCCATCCGTGACTCCCATTGATCACTGACTTGACGGCTCTCTGATTGGCGGGTCTCGCTTACACATCACCCATTCTAATTACGATCTGGGAGCCGCATGGATTGAAAATCTCCCTCGCCGCGGATCGTCGCGTGCTCCCGCGTCCTAAAGCTCATTTCTTGCTCTCGCCTCCTGAAGTCCCGAGACGAATTCGTCGAATCTCCGTCACAGTGTCTGCTCGCTCCTTATGTCCGACAAACACGGTGGATCCCTTAAGACAATTTGTTCTTCAATCGCGTGGTAGCTTAAGGCTATTGGTGGGAGTTCTGTGGCGGCAACATGAAGAAGATAGCGTAGGCTTGTTGTCTCAACATATTCGGTTGCTCGAAGGTCGCTCGACGACCACGTCAACAATTCGAGCATCTTTTCGGATCAGACTTTAATCCGCTCGCGTATGGCTTAGGTGTTGGAATCCGGCATGCTTTCTTCTCAAGTCGGTAGCGCTATACTGTGACGGAGCGATAATTCCTCAGAATGGTGGACACCTAGAACCGTTCTACCGAACACCGTCGCTTCGATTCGGCGCGTGGTATCCATCCGACAAGTGCCTCCCCCAAGTTCAAGCTATGATTTTGAGCCGGAGAGAAAAATGTCGCGCACAAGCGGGAACCAGAAATAGTATTCGCTCGCTCGTCTTTATTCTCCTTTCTAATGTTTACGTGCTTAATCTGAAGCTGATTTATTCCCCAAGATGAAAACACGCATTCACGGACGGTCAATGAGGAGCTGGTCTTCTCCATCCGAAGACAGTAATATCAAAGCGTGCAGTCGCCGCAGGCCAGTAGGAAGGCCGGCGGCTCGCAGTACCGCCGGCCGCTGTCGTCGCGTCGCGCGTCGCCGTGAACGACTTCGGTGTTGTTGTTGTCGGTTGGGAAGGTGGACAGTCGGCCTGTAAGCCGTTTGCTTGCGCAATAATTACGCGATGCGCCACGTCCTGACGGGTGTAAATCATGACCGCGGCGACGACGTACGGGACGTAAATGAAGCCGGAGGAATCTTCTTCTCTTACACGGTGAACATCATCATGTCCCCAATGAGGAGCTTTCATGTCTTGACCAGGGCGAGCCGACAGCGTCGGATAGGCATCCTATTAAAATAAAGTCATCTCAGTCAGACAAACCCTGGCCATAGAGCACGATTCGTTCGCTGAGTGAGTCGACTTTTCAGTTCTTCACGAAACTAGACGTTGAGCCTCCGCCTTGAAGATGAATGTCGATCCCGAGGCAAACAAAAAACTGATCAAGCTGAATGATCAACTTTTTCGGTCGAATAAGGATCATAGGACGAAATTCTCGACACCGCAACAAAGTCCACATGGGCTTCCGACTCGCAGGCTGGTAGTTTCTCATTTGATTTCTTCCCTCTGCCTAGAATCGAACACGATAATAATCAAGTGTCGATTACGAACAGAGTTATCTCTACGGTTTCCGGCAGATCGGAACATGAACATCGATCAATCGTTTCCCCAGTGTAGACCGTCGTCAATACCTCTGGAAAATTATCTGATTCTATCCCAGGTGTCGCGAAATGTCCGAGTGGCGAAATGATGAGAGAATCCGGTATGCGGATTAAATCACGATACCGTGGACGATAGGGATTTCGTGCACCTGATCTGATATGCCTCGCCTCCTATCGAAAGCTATGGCGGCGCCGCGCCGCCGTGACAAAGCTCTCATCCGATCCGTGGTCCTACTGTAATCCTCCTTCCGGAGCGGGAAGGAGCTTGATGAATTCTAGGAGGAAGGGGCGATAAATTCATAATTATAAGCACAAAACCTCTGATTCCCACGACTCATCGGGAGCGCGCCGTCGGATTCCTCGGCTGACCCGTTGTTTGTTCCCGGATGCTTGAACTCCACAAGGG